GACCTTTACCGCCACAGGTCCTGGCAGGTCATACCCATTACTTTGTCCCCACAGGTCCTGGCAGGTCACACCCCTGACTTTGTCCCCACAGGTCCTAGCAGGTGACTCCATCACCTTTACCCTTTTAGGTCCTGGCAGGTCACACCCCTGACTGTACCCCCACAGGTCCTGACAGGTCACACCCCTGACTTTGTCCCCACAGGTCCTGGCAGGTGACCCCATGACCTTTCCCCCCACAGGTCCTGACAGGTCACACCCCTGACTTCACCCCCACAGGTCCTGGCAGGTGACCTCATGACCTTTCCCCCCACAGGTCCTGTCAGGTCACACCCCTGACTTCACCCCCACAGGTCCTGTCAGGTAACCCCCACACCTTTCTCCCCTCTAGGTCCTGGAAGATGACACCCATTACTTTGTCCCCACAGGTCCTGGCAGGTCACACCCCTGACCCTTTACCCCTTTACCTCACCTGTACCCACAGGTCCTGGCAGGTCACACCCATGACCTTTCCCCCCACAGGTCCTGTCAGGTGACCCCATGACTTTCCCCCCACAGGTCCTGTCAGGTAACCCCCACACCTTTCTCCCCTCCAGGTCCTGGAAGACAACGACTACGGGCGGGCGGTGGACTGGTGGGGGCTGGGCGTGGTGATGTACGAGATGCTCTGCGGGCGCCTCCCGTTCTACAGCCAGGACCACGAGCGCCTCTTCGAGCTCATCCTGCTCGAGGAGCTCCGGTTCCCCCGGTCCCTGGGGCCCGAGAGCCGCTCCCTGCTGGCCGGGCTGCTCAAAAAGGATCCTAAACAGAGGTGAGACACACGTGAGACACACCTGGGCACACCTGGGCACACCTGGGCACAGGTACACTCACACCTTCGAGCTCATCCTGCTCGAGGAGCTGCGCTTCCCGCGCTCCCTGGGGCCCGAGAGCCGCTCCCTGCTGGCCGGGCTGCTCAAAAAGGATCCTAAACAGAGGTGAGACACACGTGAGACACACCTGGGCACACCTGGGC